TAAGATTATATATATTATTTTTTAATAAAAAATTTATATTATATTATTAATTTTAGATTTTAATTCTAAATTTTCATTCTATATGTCACTGCCAGTTTATTCTATACTTTACCGAATTATTGTCAAAACTAAAAACAAATTGACAGCTTTCAATAAATAAAAATTAGAAATGAACTGAGACAAAATTAGGCAAAACCCTACTTTAACCTCTCATCTTGTTAAGTTTGAAGGTTTTAACTTCTCATCTTATACTATAATATTTTTAATCTCTCACCTTATTAGATTTGTAGGTTTTAGTCCCTTACTTTATATTATGACACTTTTAGCCCGTTACTTATTAAAATTAAAGAGAATAACCCTTAATTTATAACATTTTGTTACTTTTATTAGTTGACTGTTAACTTTATTAGTTGACTGTTAGTTGACGATTAGCTGTCAAAAATTTTTTTTCAACTAACAGAATTAACATAATTAATTTTATAATATTTCGTTAATTTTGTTGATTGGCTATTAGTTGACTGTTAGTTGATAAAAATTTACTTTCAATTAATAAAATTAACAGTCAATCTAAACTGAGGGTTATTTTCTTTAATTTTAATAGGTAAAAGGATAAAATTTACAAATTTAATAATGTAAAAGGTTAAAAGTATCATAATATAAGATAAGAGACTAAAACCTTCAAATTTTATAAAGTGAAGGGCTAAAAGTGAGTTTTTGCCCACAGAATTATGACATTGCCTGAAACTTCTCATAACCGCCTACGTCATCTCTAACACTAAAACGATGTCGTATCGTTTTTAATAACCCCCCCTCTTTTTCCTTTCCCTCCGACTACTCCAGTTCTCCGATCCAAACAAGTGTTAAGGTCTGTTAAGGCTAAGTGCATAATTGTCCTTTCCGGGCAGGTGCTTTCATTTTTTTTTATTTTTTTAATAGAAACAGGACAGTTACGACCTTAAAATTAATTAATTTAAAATTACACAAAATTTTAAATATTCAAATAAACACACACTCGAGGTGGTGAAGAACCCACAGTCGGGGCTTTCAGTTTTTATTTTAATCCTTCTGAAAACTAAAAACCAGAAACGAGAGCAGAGGGAATGATTCGAAGAACGAAAGCAGAGGATTTCGAATTACCCTGAACAAGGTATTAGCGGTTTGATTTCCAATGCGAAAACCATATTGAGAGACATTGATTTATTTCAATTCCTGTTTTTATGCTTTTGATCGATTGAATATGGTGAATGATTTTGATAAATTTTAGATTGCTGCTAAATAGACTCAAATGTTGATATTTGTTTGGTTGCACATTTTTTGGTTCTTTATGCTGTCTTTCAGTAGTTCCTGCGAATTTTTTGAGCTAACATTCTTGGTGAATTTGATGAGAAAGTATATTTGATTCCTCGAGAACTTGAATAAATGCTTTGCCGTTCTTTGATTAGTGATATATCTGTTTTGTTTTGCTTTGTTTCGTTTAGGTTTCGGTTTTAGTAAATATAATACCAAACTTAGTTGCCGCATGTTAAATTTGGGTAATACGTGGGATGTTCTTCTGTTGTTCTTAATTTTGATTTAAACAAAAATCTGAAAATGGAGATGAATATAAATCTTTCCTGGTGATCATCTTTGCTTTGTTTTGTTAGTTTAAAACTGGAAGGAGACTTGCTCTACCTTATAAATTGAGCAAGTGGCGACTCCTAATTTTTTATTTTTACACTTATTATTCTCATTTTGAATTTTAAGCGGTTGTTGAACTCAAATTTCTTAGTTTGGATTTTTTTGAATGGACATTTTGAAGGCTTCAGAAGACAACGGAGATGGGGGTTGAGTTATCCCCAAAGGCTAATGCCATCATCACTGTGCTCCAGGGATGCAACAGCTTCAAAAGGCTTCAGAAGATACATGCACATGTCATAGTGAACGGCCTCCAACATATCCCTGCCATTGCCAACCAGCTTCTCCACTTCTGTGCCGTATCTGTCTCAGGGTGCTTGCTCTATGCTCAGCTTCTATTCCAACATCTCCATAACCCACAAACACAAGCATGGAACTCACTTATCAGAGGCTTTGCCCTCAGCACATCTCCTCTCCAAGCCATTCTTTACTACAATCACATGATTTTTTCTTCCACATCTCACCCTGATACTTTCACTTTCTCCTTCACTCTTAAGGCCTGTGAGCGACTTAAGGCTCAAAACAAATGTCAGGAGCTTCATGGCTCAGTAATCCAAAGGGGGTATGAGAGTGATGTGGTTGTTAGAACCAATCTCATTCGATCCTATGCAGCAAATGGGCTGATTGAAAGTGCAACGATGGTGTTTGATGAGATGACTGAGAGGGATTTGGTTTCCTGGAATGCAATGATATCTTGCTACTCACAGGCCGGTCTGCATCATGAGGCATTGGATATGTACACTTACATGAGAAATGAGGGTGTTGAGTTTGATGGCTTCACATTAGTTGGGCTGCTCTCATCTTGTGCCCATGTGGGCGCATTAAACATTGGCATCCACTTGCACCAGATTGCTTGTCATAAGGAGTTCACTAGAAATGTTTATGTTGGGAATGCTCTTATAGACATGTATGCAAAATGTGGTAACTTGGAAGATGCTCTTTGTGTCTTCAATGGGATGCACAAGCGTGATGTTTTTACCTGGAATTCTATGATTGTTGGATATGGAGTGCATGGCCTTGGAGATGAGGCAATCAATTTCTTCAAGAAGATGTTGGTGGCAGGAGTGCAGCCAAATTCCATCACATTTCTTGGTTTGTTGTGTGGTTGCAGTCATCAAGGCTTACTCAAGATGGGTGTTGAGTATTTCAACATGATGAGCTCCATGTTCAATATTAAGCATGGAATTAAGCACATTGGATGTATGGTTGATATGTATGGACGAGCAGGGAAACTTGAAAAGGCTCTTGAAATTATAAGAAGTTATCCTTCCGAGAATGATCCAGTCCTGTGGCGAACTCTTCTTGGATCTTGCAAGATTCATAGGAATGTGAAGATTGGAGAAATTGCCATGCAGAATCTGGTCCAGCTTGAGGCATCCTCTGCGGGGGATTTTATACTGCTTGCTACTACATATGCCAGTACCAAAAATGCACAGGGTGTTGCAAAGATGAGAAAACTAATTAAAAGCCGGGGGATAAAGACAATTCCAGGTTGGAGCTGGATTGAAGTCGGAGATCAAATCCATAGATTCATTGTGGAGGACAAGTCACATCCTGATTCAAGAATGATATATCAAAAATTGGAGGAAGTAATGCGGAGAGTTATTTTGGCTGGTTATATTGAAGAGAACTTTGATATGTCCATGCCAGGTTCGTCCACTGAAGGGTGTTTAGAAGCATCAAGTAGATATCATAGTGAGAAGCTGGCCATTGCCTTTGGGTTGGCCATAACCTCAGAAGAAACAGTCCTCCGGATAGTGAAGAATTTAAGAGTTTGTAGAGACTGTCATGTGTTCACAAAATTTGTTTCAAAAGCATTCAGTCGAGACATAATTGTTAGGGACCGAGTTCGGTTTCATCACTTTAAGGATGGACTTTGTTCTTGCAAAGATTATTGGTAATGATAAAATGGTGGAGACTGTGATGGTCAAACATAAATTCAAGAAGCATTTTAGCAGACACAGGATAATAAAGGAACGTTTCTACTTCTTCTTCTTCTTCTTCTTCTTCTTCTTTTGAAATAGAGGATCAGACTGAGATAATCATAGCATTTATCACATTTTGTACATTATTTCATTTTAGAGAATATGAAAATTATATTTAGCAGTCATTAAATTCTACAGATTGTGGCAGGAGAAGTGGGACTTAAATTCTTACTAACCAGGAGGGGAAAGTGATGGAGCACGCTGGCAGCAACCCCCAAAGGTTTACAAAAGGCGAGCCAAAGTTGGTTCTAAAGCCCGTGCTTTGGTTTGGCACATGGCCAATGATGAGAAGCTTAGTTGGGAGCTTAATTAAGTCTTTTACTAGTAGTTTATTATTATTATTATTATTCTTAAAACTATTTAATTTTTTTCAAGGCCTAGTTGGATTAGAACTTCTAATTAAGAGTTCTATTAGGAGTTTTAATAGTTCTTATATATATACATGTTTGTAAGTTTCTTTAGACATTCAGTTAATAACATTCAGATTTTTTTCAGCAGGTTTGCTCTTGATTGTGCGAAGCTATCTTGATTGCATGAAGCAATCTACCTTAGGAGTGATTCCTAAGGGTGCCTAGGTGTGATTCGTAGGGTTGTTTATTCTTCCCTGTCTTCTAAACTAAACTCCTAACCTTCTTTTTTACTATTCACGCACCCTATTTGTAGCCTAACTATCTTCAAATAAGCCCCTAAATCCTTAAGCCTACCTTACGCCCTAACCTGTTCCGCATCAGAAAGTCACCAGGTTCTTATTCTACTTTTTCTCTGTTGTTAAATTAACAGGAAAATTCATTTCTCATGTCTTTATTTTCTTCCTGGCTAAGGCAAGGTTATGCCTTTTTAATATATTTATCTTGGTTTGGTTTGCTTAATCAGTTTTGACATTTTATTTCTGAGTTTTTTCTAGTCATCTACAAGGCATGTTCACTCACACCATTCACCTACTTGAAGATGTGATTAAACCTGTGTAATGTGTTTGTTCACTTTTGTTTCCATAAATTATTTTTTCAAATCATTGGTTGTTCACTTTTTCTATATATTTATACTACTTATAATCCATGATTTGCTAAAAGACTGCATTTTCAACATTGTTTGCATCTCTTTCCAGCTATTTGCTCAGTAGGCAGCCTCTAGATTTGAAAAAGCAAGAGCTGGCAAAACAGTACTCTTTTTCTTTATCCTAGCATGCAGCTTGCCACAATGCTTGCATTTCTACTATCTATGGCTAGTCACACACTCACACAGAACTCTACTATCTATAGCTTGTCACACAAACACAGTCACACACACATATCACTAGTAATTGAGAGTGCTTGTCATGTCTAATTTTGAACTGTAGTTATTCGAAAAGGGTAGATGATGCTAAGGATTTGGCAGAAGCTGTGGAGGTACTTTTCTGCAGTTGCCCTTTCAATTTGACCCATGGTTAGGAAGTTGCTCTTCATTATTTCAACCTGTGATATTTAGCTGCTATTATTTTCTTAATGCAGTCAGGCAATAGGGAGGACATTGAAAAATTCAGCAAGTGGGCAGTCAAGGTGAGTCTTCGTTTCCTACCCTTTTTTTTCCATGTTTTGCACTATTTCTTATGACAAGGATGAAGGATCCATCATCTCTTTGGACACTTATTTTTTTGTTTCTTTGTTTGCATGATAAATAAAAAGGGAAATGGAGCATTCAAGTTATTATTGCTTCTAATTCCACTATTTTTTCAGGTTACAAAGCAGCATAATGAAGACTGTAAAAGACTCTCAAGACTTATGGGCTTGCCTATGATAGATGTGAGTTTATATTACTTGAAGTAATTTCTTGTGGGCATAATGTTAGGTGTTTCCAATGATATAGAATAAATTGAAGCTGGGAACCCGTGTTTCTATTTCATCAGGCCCTTTCTGAAGTAGAGGCTCAATGTGCTGCACTTTGCATGCTGGGAAAGGTATATGTATGTCTGCTTGCTTTATGATTTATTAGTTCATATTAGGGTCAATTAGTATAAAAAATGGAAATCAAACAGTCCATAATTTAGTGTTTAGTTTACTTTTTAGATTTCTTCTCCTTTTGTTCCAAGGGCCCACTTTTCTATGATTATTTAATCTTTGGGTGAGGATAATTCTTTGGAATTCACATCCTTCATAAACTAGTTAGTAATTCAAGCTATTTGTTTCAGGTTTATGCAGTAGCTTCTGAGGACGTGGATCCTCTAACTTTTGAAGCTCCTTGATTCTTTCACCATTTGATGGATCCTAGTTCAAGAAAAGTTCCTGTAATGGAGTTTGAAGTTGCAAAGGTGCTTTGAATATTGAATATGATATATTTGGATAGTTATTTAGTATTCTGTGCTAATGTTCTAATTGACAAGTCTTTCAGAATTTTGAGGATCTGAAACCTAATGTGGTGCAGATCGATTCTTTGTCTTGTGCATTCTTTGTTTTTCAGATTCTTGAGGAGCTGAATCTCACTATGGATCAATTTATTGACTTATGCATTTATTCTAGATGTGATAACTGTGAAAGCATTTGGGGAATTGGGGATTTTCATTTCTGGCATCTGATTTGAAGGGTATATGCTTAGCTTTGAATTTGTTAAAGGATATGTTGTTTAATGCCATAAGCATTGGGGGACACACAGTTTTGAAACTAATTTGTCAGCATGGCAGTATAGAGAATACACTGGGGAATATAAACAAAGATAGGTACATCTTTTTTCCTTTGGTTGAAAATTATCTTTGTGATTTGTTATATTTTGCTTGTTATGTTTGTGCTGCATGAGATGATTCAAATGACTGTGGTACTTAGAGTTATTTTCACTGAATTATAACTTCTACTAGTTTTGGTAATATTTGTGGGATATTTGAAAATTTTGCTCTTCTAAGCAAATAATTTTGTATATAATTACTTACCAATAACTAATGACTAACTTTGTACTCTGTATTCTTGAATCCATTTGGTGACAGTGTAAAATGGGAATTCCTTCTGATTGATTACCATCAGAAAACTATTGATAATATCTCTCTAGCCCCTTCACTGCTGCAAAGGATAAAAAAATAGTATTGCTCCTTGACCTTAAAGGCTTCCAAAGTGACATGACATGCGAGTGTCTTTACTGACTAAATTACTTATCCATATTCAGGTATCAAATTCCTGAAGATTGGCCATAACAAGGCGCTTGACAGCTTTTTAAAGAACCTTTACTCCATACTGATAATGAACAACTTGATCTTAAGTGGACTGCCCAGGACAAAGAAGTGAGGGTCTTATTATCCCAATTAACAGCTTTGTTCTGTATATTATTATTATTTTTTTTTTAGTTGGTTTGTAAATCCTTGGCATGTATAAATAGTTACCTTATTTTACCTTTTTCTTTTTCATAGGGGTTGATTGCCTTCTGGTGAATGAAATAGCTCCAACATTGACAGGCTAACAAAGTTGTGTGGGTCTCTAGTTGTTCTCTCTCTGTCACACATGCACACACTATGTATATATATATATATATATATTGGTTTTCTGCATATAAGTTTAAATTATTTCTCATATATATTAGGCAATAGAGAAAATTAAAGCAGCAAAAAACAAGTCATTAAAGGACTGGTGAGTAATTCTCAACCATATAAAATGTGTTCATTTGTTTTGATTCTTTCATACATTGCTTTATTTATTTTTCTTTGCAGACTGTAGTAATTTTTTAAGCCAGTTTGAAGGACATTTGCACCTATTAAGCGGAAGATATGTCTATATACATTAAGCATTTTGGACAACCAGCATCTGATTTATGTTTGCCTTACTGTGACTGGATTCCAATTAAAAATGGTTACTTTTCATTCCTTCTCTGATAGCATTTCATGATCATGCTTGAATTTTCTTGCTAGATCTAAATTGTTTTTCTTTTATCCAGATCATGTTAGGTCTCACTTTGTTTTTGTTAAGGCTTCTAAAGAAATTTGTTTGTCCCACTCACCTTTATATAGAACTGCAGAAACATGCTAGCTTTCTATGTTTCATATAATCATCTTTAGTTATGTGTATTTAATTTTTTTTTTTTCAGACTTCTAAGTTCTAAATATGTGCTTAATAGTGTTGAGAAACTATTTTTGGTTGCATATCTGGATCCTCTTTCCTCTAAATTTTATGGAAAAATTGGTGTGAAGATAACTCATTCTTCCATGCTTGTTCCGTTCTGTTAGAAGTCAAAACTTTATTGGCTACTATAATTCCTGAGTTCACTGGTTGACAGGGAACCAAATGCATGCTTCAATCTCCCAAAAACCAACTGTCCAGCCTAAGATATTCTCTCTGCAAGTTTGTAGTTTTCTGAGGCCCAAATATGTTGGCAGACATTTTCTAGAGGTGTCTGTTTCAACACATAAAGTGGAAAACCCTGGTGAACCTTCAGCCAGTCTGTGCTCTAGTCTATTCATTTAATGTTAAAGAATTTATATGGTAGTTACAATTAATGTTAGGGCAAAATAGAGTAGCTAGCTGCTATTATCATTGTCATTTTATAGTTTCTTTAGTAATGTAAATAGTGGGAGGCAGACCTATGTAAAACTTCCTACCTTGCTTCCCCTTCCCCTCACCTCCTCTCTCCCTTCTGTGTTTTTTCATTTCTATCATTTTTGGTAGTTAAAATTTTGCAATTCTAATTCTTTTTTGGAGATCAAGGTGCTGCACAGTTTTGCAATAAGAAAATGAGTAATAAGAAAACTATAGTTCTTATTGTGTCTTTCTAGATATTGTCACTACAATCATTTTGGCATCAGGGATATACGATTAATTTTGCCCCAAGTTACTTAAAATCAAGAGGTGGTCTTAGTCAAGGGGAGAAGACTTAACCTCAAACGATGTAACTCGTACAGGATCCCTGCTATTAGAAGCATTATCACCTTGTTAGACTGTCCATCCGACATTAAGATCCATATTGGGATTTTGTTTTCTATTTTTGTTCTTTTCTTTGTCCTTCATTTTTCTATTGGGAGGTCTGTAGATGCGAGTATACATTGTCTACAATTTTGGTTTCTTTAGCATTGAAATCCATAAAGAAAACACTGCTGGTTACCTATTCCTCTAGATTCCTAGTGATTGATTATTTGCCATAAAATTGCCCAATCACCTAAAATTGTTACAATGTCTAGTTAATTGGTGTCTATAATTAACTCCCGTTCTGTCACCACTATTTTTATGTTTCCCTAGAGCTTCTTTAACTTCGGTTTGGAAGGTCATGTTTGGTGGAAATTTGCTTTGGTTATTGTTCTATTCTTCCCTCGTTCACCTCTCCCTGTGACTTCTACACCCTTAACTTCTCAATACTGGGTTTGATTATGTTATCAAGTGTGGTTCATTAAATAAGTTTTTCTTTATTGCCTTAACAGGAAACTCCTGAGAGCACCCGTAAGGAAACTTCTAATAAAAAGTCCAAAGCTGTTGTGGTTAGAAAGGCAGAGGTAATCATACCTGCATTTTATCAAGTTAAGTAGACGGTGTTCTAATATTATCACTGTCTTCGTCTGTTTGCAGCTTACAGGAGCTTCTAAACCTTAGGTTTTAACAGCAGTGTTCTTCATTGTTTTCTTTGGCAGTCTTTTGAAATTAAAGCATATTTATCTATTTTATAATGTCAGAGCTAATCGCATAATTGTTGAGACAATTGTGGAAGGTAGATCAATGTAATGTGAGAAAACCTTTACTGCGCCTGAACAACTAGGAGATTCAAGTTTATGTTTGAATTGAGATTTTCTACCTTTGCCTTTGTGCAAAAAATAAAATCAGTTTGCACTCTTTCAGTTTCAGGGGGTGTTCCAATCTTTATTAGTTTGAGTTTTTACTCTCTGTATATTGGAAGTTCGAAATTCTAATTTTGGAGGGAGTTGTAAGGACAAAAAAAACTATAAAATTCCATAGCAAAGGATAATGTGGGTGTTTGGCGGAGCCTTTTTTGAACTTATTTTATGTAACATTTTGCCCCTGGAATGACGCAAATTATCCTTTAAACTCCTCAAAAGATGCAAATCGGTTTTCATCATTAAAGGTTCAATGCATGTGAATCTTATATTATTTGTTCTTTTTTCTTTGTTTGGTTTTCACTGTTTCACGGAGATAGAAAGACCTAGTATTTCACCAAAAAAAAAAGAAAAAGGGACCTAGTAAATATTTTGCCAAAATGACCTGTAGGGTCTTTTTTTTTTTTTTTTGGGTATCCTTAAGCTGGATCGTTTTAGTAGGATTTTTATTGTTCAATAGATCTTTTGATCCACACCATCATTTACATAAAAACGTGGAACCAAGCAAAGAAAAAGAATGGATGGCGTGGGGTCACATGTATTGTGTCATTAATGATGAAGGCTTATTGGCATTTGTTGAGGGATTTAAAAGCTTATTTGAATTATTTGAGGGATTTGAAGATTTAGTTATATTCTCTTCAGGAGATTCACATATTAATTTGGGATAAATTTAGAATATTTAAAAGGAATTTTGCCTACTTTTTAACTTTTAAATAACTTTTTGTCTCTTGAATTTGACATTGTTTTGAAGGAAAAGTCTTTTTTTTTTTTAAAGAAAAAAAGTCTTAAAAAAAGTTATAAGTCATTGCTTTCTTCAAAACTTAAATACTTAAAAACTCGTGTTTTTGAATCTTCGAGGGCTTAAACAAATTTTACCTTAAGACTGATAACATACGTGATCATCCATGCATCTCCTTTTCGAGGCACAAAATAAATGGTACACGAATGATGTTGTCATGAATTTAATCTTGCATTCAATGTGTATATCATCAATACAATAAGACTCAAGATGATCATGATATGTAAATTTTGGAAAAGAACCATGGCCATATATGACGACATAATTATAAAGAATTTAATGTATAATTAATTTCTATGAAGTATATAGCGGATTTAGAAAGCTAGCTTAGCTTTCTTCAAAAATTTTGAGGACTAATGTACAAAGTTGTGTTTCCTGTTCAGCAATTACCGGACCAATCATATTTCTGGTATAAAATATTAACGGAACTTCCATCACCTAAAAGATGTGTCAAAAGACCTGATTTTGTTGCATCTAAGTAGTTGAGCACCCATTTCAAAATGTCTTTCTCCTGCCCGAAGTCGACCATGTACCTGTTAACACCAAGCATTTATCAAACAAATATATGTTGGGAAAGAGCTAGGCATTGACATAAAGAGTTAACATTTTATGATTTAAATTGCAAAATCAAGATTATTAAAAGAAAAGAAGTCAACATCTAATATTAAGAAATCTGCTTTTATCTAATAATTTTATATAGTTTAATGCAATCTAAATCTCACAAGATATTTTTATGTTGATATAATCTATGTTAGTATTATATAACTCTTAAACTCTCACCATTTGATGATCCGAGTAAGATAAACCGTTCTCTTGTCCAAATCAACCTCTATTCCGCCTCTTTGAAAGAACTCACGGGTTGCATATTTTAGTTCGGATTCGATTCCATGAGGCGTGAAAAACCTCACCGTTGGGCTTGATCTTGTACCGTTGCAAAGTCCAAAATGAATTAGGGGATTAAATTTGGGAAGCATGAGCTGTGAGACGATCAATATGGAGTCAAGATATACTGATTAACAACCCTTGTATTAACATAAAGAAAATAAAGAGAGAAATATGCTTACCTCTAAGCGCTTGTCTCCATTTGCAAAGGGCTTGACCAAAGAGTAGGTGGATCTTTGGTTGTGTCTGAGGATTCCATTCTGTATATCGCTGAGAGAGTAAGGATATCCCCCAACTACGTATTGAAAATCATAGAAAAATGCTCTCTTATCTAGTATTCCTTCGGGATGTCCAATGCTAATTACAGCATGGATGACCATGGCATTGTACAAATTAAGGAAGAAGGCAAGCGTCTCTTCTGGTGAGAGTAATTGGAGATTCACCCTCTGAAGATCTCGGGCCAGGTTTACATATCTGCAACAACACTGAAGCATATAAGTCTTCCTCTAATATACCATAATAATAGCAACAACAGCTTGATCAAATTGCTACCCTTTAATTTAAGAACTTTCATTGAAAATTCAAATTTTCATAATACTGAGTAGCTAACCTTTCAATGTATTAAAAAAATATAACATAATAATCAACAACGGTGACAATACCTTCGGAATTCTTCACTTCTGCTGATGCCAGAATAATCGAGATGGCAGCGGTCCTCAGAAGCGTAAGTCTCTAATATAGCAGACATTAGCTTCATGAGCTTATCGCTAACCAAGGCAACGGACTTTGGCTCACTGTCGTTTATAGAGCTTTTGAAATTGAAGCATCCTAGAATAAATGGTTCATGCTCAAGGAAGCGGTAGAAATGTTCTTGTTTTGTTTCTTCAAACTCGTTTTCTCTATTAAGAAAAAATTATGTTAGGCAAAATAAGTAAGAGTTTGTGTAATTTGTACTTTTATGGCACAAATTGTGAATGCATTAATTATATATAATATATTAATTTTAAGTTGTTTAATAAAAAGTAATTTTTATTTATTATTTAATTTATTTGCACTAATATGTTATGTAATTTAAAATCAAAACTTATTATTTTTATTGAAAAAAGATTACTATTGAGTAAAGATTACTATTGAGTTATTTATATTTTTTATTAATTTATACAAGAAAACATAAAATCTAACTTTACTCTCAATATTGATGATATGTACATGATTTTAATTAGATTGTTAATAAAATTTGAGTTAAAGTTTATATTTTTTTATAACAATTAATGAGAAAAATTGGTAATGTTTATATCCTAACAATTACCCTACGAAAAACCCAATAAACCCAATAAATAAAGGAATAGAAATAAAAAATCAGTGTAGGCAATGGCAATCCAAAAAAGTACATACCGAAAGACATGATGGATGAAGTGCTTCTTCGCCAGCATCTTAGCTGTAGCAATGGCCTATATTTGTCGTCAAAAATAATATTAATTTGTTAATATTAACACCTACCATGAAATGCACGTTACCAAAAAAAAAAAAAACAAATACACATAAATGCATAGTATTCAAAGTCGATCTAGGTGCCATATTAATTTCTCTTCGCACTTAGATGTTCGACTCAGATGCAAGTAAACCCTGTCAAGTACGGTACCAGCTGTGTGAATTGGGTTCGAGTTCCACTCCTTATTCCAAAATTCTCATAATCATAAATAATTCTTAATTTTTTCCCATCTATATATATTGAGATTTTTTAACATGTGTCTTAAATATCATCAATTATAATATTTATAATTAATTTTATATAAAATTTAAATAAAACATAATATAATATATAAAAA